CACTCAAAAGAGGATCGAAAAATTACAGCAGTAGTTCAGATTACAACAACAACTGTTAATGAATAGCAGCAGAGAGGAAATTAAGCCATTGCTTAGCAGAGGTATTGTCTTCTTTGTTTTTGAACCGGAAGACCCAGAGGGAGAAATCTGCTACAATGTTACGTATTGTAGTTCTGTGGGGGTGATCCTCATTTCTGAATACGAGAGCATTTCTCGAATCCCATATCTTCCATGCAACAGTCAGAGCGACCGAAGGCCAGATGTTGGGGTTGAGGCCAAGAATCGTAGGGTGTTGGTGCAGATCGTCCAGGGAGGTTGGCGACGGCAGACCCAAGGAGGACCAAACATGTGTTGCGTAGGAGCAGTTGGAGATGAGATGGAGTGCATCCTCGTGCGGGTCCTGACATCGGGGGCAAGCAGCTGATTGGGCGATATGCTTGTGAAACATGTTGGCTTTCGTGTTTAGCCGATCGCGGAGGAGAAGCCAGGCGAAGATCTTGACTTTGATCGGCACCTTGGAGGCCCAGACAAAGTCGTGGTGGGGATCAGCGTAGTCTTCGGCAAGAATGGAGGAGTAGGCGTTCTTGGCAGAGAATGGCAGCCCATGGGAGAGGGACCGTTCGTCAGATCGATCTACCTGCTGAAAATCCTGCAACAGCAACAGCACACAATCCAACTCGCGAGCAGCAGCATTAGATAGACGGTTCCGCAGGTTCGTTAATAAGCCTTTTTGCCATATTGTAGCCACTAGAACCTTGTCATCCAACGAGTGTGAGTGTAGGTTGGGGAATACTTTATGGAGAGGCGACTGCAGTACCCATGTGTCTAACCAAAAGAAGGTGGAAAGCCCATTGTAAGTGATCACAAATGAGTGCTCAATGAGCAGTGGCAAATTTTTGTTGATAATTTTCCAGAGGAAGGAGGGCCTTGGAGTTTTTGCTAAGATGCCAAGAGGATATTGTTGGTGATACCACTGTGTCCAAGGGACGTTTGGGTTCTGCAAAATCTTGAAGGAGAATTTCATAAGCAAGCAGCGGTTCTGAACATCGAGATTTTTAATGCCTAGACCACCAGTATCTTTCGGTTTGCAAACGTTTTTCCATGCGACTAAACAGCTCGCACCCGTGCAAGTTTCCTCATTAGACCAGAAGAACGCCCTCCGAATGGCGTCAAGTTTTGCTATAATTGACTTAGGTAGACGAAAAACTGACATAAAATAGACTGTTAGAGAGTCTAGGACTGCAGTTAGCAGAGTCAGGCGAGCACCGCGTGAAAGCAGACGCGCTACCCAGCCGAAGAGGAACTTCCAAAAGCTGTCAATGATCGGGTCGAAGGCTGTGAGCGGCAGTTTGGTGGGGGAGAGAGGAAGGCCTAGGTACATTAGTGGAAAGGAGGATAATGAGCATCCAATAGCAGTGGCGATGTTGTTTTGCATGGATGGATCAGTGGCGATGGTGAGGAGTGCCGTTTTTTGGAAGTTGATAAGCAGCCCTGTTGCAAGGGCAAAATCGTGGAGTGATTGTTTTAGGGTTAAGGTGGCTGCATCGTTAGCAGCAGCGATGATAAGGGTATCGTCGGCGTATTGCAGAGTCACAGGTGGTTCGTTTGGTCGTAGTGGATGGCAAAGAACATTCTGTTGGAAAGCGCTGGCAATCAATCTTTGGAGGACATCTGCAACGATGATGAACAAGTATGGCGAGAAGGGGTCTCCTTGTCGTAGGCCGCATCAACATTGGATCCAGGGCCCCGAAATGCCATTTAGGAAGATGGCCGTTTTCCCAGTGTAGAGAATGTCTTGGACCTAGGAGCAGAAAATTGGGGGGGAACCCTCGAGCTTGTAGGATTTGAAAGAGGGAGGACCAGTAGATGGAGTCAAAAGCTTTCCTGAAATCAAGCTTGAAGACCATGGTCGGCGCTTTACGCGTGTGGCAAGCACTTAGGATATCAGCTGCATAAATGAAGTTTTCAGCGATGTTGCATCCGTGAAGGAAACCCGTTTGATCATAATGAATGAGCAGTGGGATTAGGGGCTTGACCCTGTTTGTGAGAACTTTGGCAACTGCTTTTGGAGTACAGTTTTGAAGATAGATTGGTCTAAAAGCATCTGGGGACGTTGGCGCCAGGGTTTTGGGAAGGAGAATTATGAAGGCTCGGTTAAAACGTTCAAGTGAAGCCGTTTGATCATGGAAGGCAGAGAAGAATGGTAGTATGAACTGTTTGATATCATTCCAAAATTTTCTGAAGAAGATTGGTCCAAAGCCATCCGGGCCCGGGCTTGCGTTTGCATTCATGGTGAGAAAAGCCTGGTGGATTTCGTCATGTGAGAAGGATTGTGTGAGATCTGAAAGTTGGGGAAGGGGAGAGCGGTATAGCTGCTGTAAACTAAAGTTCCATGTGGCATTTTTTGTATTCCCGATTAGTTGTTGGAAGTAGTTCTTTAGGATATCGGCTTTTTGTTCGTGCAGGAAAACTTCGAAGGAGTTATGAATAAGCAGAGGGATTTTGTTTGAGCGAGAGCGCTGTGTAGCAGAAGCATGGAAGAACCTAGAATTTTTGTCTCCATCGATGGCGACTCTAATCTTCCCCCTTTGTTTCCAAAATGCGATTTTTGTTTGATAGCACATTGCAGCAGGTTAGAGATGAGCAGTCTAAGTTTTTGCTCGAGGGGAGATAGAGGAGTAGTGACATATAGTCCATTTTTGTGGAGATTGAGTTTTGCTTGGTTTTGTTAGAATCTGGTTGTAATTTTTTTCAGATGTCTTTTATCGTCGGAAATTTTGAATATAAAATTCAGAACCTCTTTTTTGCAGGGTTAAAGGGAATTTCATTGCTCAACTTGGAGGAAGATCCTCCATACAAAGTTCCGGTACATTAGCAGGTCCTGATTTTAACCATACGGCAGTCCTAGCTTCTACTCGACCAAATTCAGCTAGTCTATGCCCAACACGGTTTTGTCTCCTACTAATATGAGCAATTGAGCTTTCCCTTTCACCAAGAAGTCTTTTAGCTTCAGTAATCATCATCGCATGTTGCGATTTATCATCAGTCATTAACTGGATAGCCTGCACAGCAATCAGGCTGTCCATCTCCACGTCCATAGGCAAAGGAGACCATTGCATAGCAAAATTGAGGCCCTCGAGACAAGCCGCCAACTCCGCTTGCAAGGAATCTGCACAGAAGAGAAGGTTCCTGCATGCTGAAAAAATGATCGCTCCATTGCTGTCCCTCAAGATCATGCCTGCACCCGCACCACCAGAGGCGGGGCAGTAGGAACCGTCGACGTTCAGTTTAACACGCCCAGGAGCTGGGGCCTGCCACATGCTGTCCGGCACTGGCGCGTTCTCCTGATGCCTTGCCAGTGCCATCCGCGCAGCGGGCGCAAGCACCATCTTGCCCTTCATGTGATCACCGTCCGGGTCTCGCTGGATAGCAGCCAGGGATGCTTCATAGCTGAGCAGAAACCGGCATGATACCTCCACCAGGGGAGGCCTCTTCTCTTTCATTGCTGATATGCCAAGCGCGCCACAACACCATAAGGACCCTCATGCGATCATCAGCCTGCATGGGGTACAACACGTCGAACAAACACTCGATACCTGTCGGCCTTACAGAATTAAGGTCCGGCAAGCTCCAATGTTTCGCCATGGCTCGCCACAGTTCCGCACCACGGGGGCATCTTTGGTGGAGCAGGTGTTAGAGGTACGACAAGCAAATCAAATGACGAAGGTCAAAATCAACACATAAGACACGAGGATTTAACGTGGAAAACCCCAGATCGTGGAAGGTATGTGTCGATCCGCCTAGCGATCCGGACGTGTTTTCTCCCGCAAACCGGAGACAAATATGGGGGGCTTTGCGGGCGTCTGGACAACACTGACGCCTGCTTCGGACCATCCTGACCCACCCAAACCCCCTCTACCTTGCCAGCGCGTGTTCCCGTCTGGCACCAGCTGCACGCATTCATGCCGTTGTAGAGCGGACGCTTCACATTGAAGCCGGATCAGAGCGTACGCAACCTCTCACTGCCTCTACCATTGAAACGGCATGCCGGCCGAGGGCGCCGCCTGCTGCACGCTCAGCTGAGCACGCCTCCTCGTCGCATTCAAATGGCTG